GTTCTCCAAATGAAAATATTAAACAATTTAAAATTCACTACATCAATGACTGTAATCATTTCAAGTAGGGATAATTCCTCTTCCTTTTCCAATAACCTCAATGAGTTACTAAAACATGAAATCTAGAATCTAACAGTTGATTATTTTTAAGAATGCTGTTGTTGTTATGTGCCATCGAGTCATTTGTGACTCATAGCGACCCTATGTACAACAGCCCTAAACCCTGCTCTATCCTGTGCCAATCACACTGCCTCTGACACGCCCATTCCGATTACCCCAGTCACTGAATCAATCCATCTCATAGAGGGTCTTCCCCTCTTGTGCCATCCCTCCACCCTCCCAAGCATGATGTCCCTCTCCAAGGACCTGTCCCTCCTTGAAACATGCCCAAAGTATGTCTGATGAAGCCCCAGAATCCTTGCCTCCAAGGAGTTGTTTGGTTTAATCCTCTCTGGGATGAATCTTTGTTTTCTTGGCAGTCCATGGTCCATTGAGCACCACAGCTCAAAGGCATCAATTCTCCTTCTGTCCTCCCTAGTCATTGTTCAACTCTCTGATGCATAACAAGTGATTGCAAAAACCATGGCCTGTATCAGGCGGACTTTAGTCTCCAGAGAGACACCATTGCTCTTGAGTATTTTAGAGAGGTCCCTAACAGCAGACTTTCCCATCGCAGTACAATTTTTTTTATTTTCTGACTGCTGGTGCGAAGAGTGTTGACTGTGGAGCCAAGCAAACTGAAGCTGTGAACAATCTCAATCTCTTCACCATCCATCCTGATGCTACCAGTTGGTGCAGTGGTGAAAATCTTTGTCTTCTTGACATTAAGCCTCGGTCCATACTGAAGGCTGCAGTCCTTGACCCTCTGCAGCAAGTGCATGAGGTTCTCCTAAGTTTCAGCAAGCAGGGTTGTGTCATCTGCATAACGCAGATTGTTAATAGATCTTCCACCAATCCTGATGCCACAATTCTCCTCACAGAGACCAGCCTCTGGGGTAATCTGCTCTGCATACCTTTTTTAAGAATACACATGACTTTATTTTAATGAAATTTAACACAGTCTTTTTTAAAATGCAGTCTTAGTGTCCAAGAACATTATAAACTCTTACATTTTCAAAGCCCATTTCTGAGGACTTTTTTTCCTAGTCAGGTATCTCTGAAAATGTGTTAATTCATGTATCTAGAACTGTACTGAGAAATCTTCTATTTGTATCATCACTTTAAAAAAATACAAAAAGCTGAACAAAACCTCAAAATTTAAAGTAAATGAAAAATATCTGATGGTCAAGTAAACTCCTATTACAGATGTCAAAATAAAGAAGATACATATTCTCTGAGAGAGATCTCAATAGACCTTAATTTGACATTTCTCTGAGAGAAGTCAAGAAATTCTTGTTTCTGTGTATGTATGATAAATAGTCCAACAGTGGAACAAGTTGCTACTTAGAGAAAATAAACTTTATGAAATCTGATCTTAAACCAGATAACATATTTGATGCTACTTATCTGCTTGTCAGAGAAAAAAAGAACACAATTTTCCCTGGAACAGTGTCACACGTCCTATCCTCAAAATGACCATTTTTCCTGAAATCACACCAAGACTTTCATTGCATGCTTACAGTCTGATGATTGATGACATAGGTGTCCTAGTAGCAAGAAACTGTGCTGCAATCTCAAAAGCATACAGTTAAAATCTACCAGCTACTCCACTGGAAAAGGAAGGGCAATCTCTTCCCATGTGATTTACTCCCTCTGAAAAACCAACAGAGGGTCATCTATGGGTTGGTTCCTACTCAACTATACTCAACAACACCATTCTAGATATGAAATATTGATTTTTTAAATATAAATTATTTAGACAATGGGGTGGTAATGTTTTCCTCAATATAAAAGTTCTTAATATCATCAATGTGATTTCACATCATAGCTAAATAAGTAACATAGTTAATGTGATCAAGAAAACAATATGTGAATTAAATTGAAGATTATCCAATCACTTCATATGATGTTTTTAAAGTGATTAAATGCTTGTAAACATAAGTATTTTTCTTCTTTGTTTCCTCTCTATTCACCATAAGTGATAACACACCTTCAAATATATACAGCAGCTTTCCAACTATGTTATCTCTGTATCTTTCCCCTTTTTAAATATAAAATATTTCCCCAAAAAAGGCACCAGGTAGTCTTTTAAAAGATGCCTTGTCTTGAATTAAATTTCAAAATCACAAGCAGTAGTGATTAAAAAATAAAATGGAGATTGTTGCTCTTGTAATATGCCCTCGAGTCTCCTGCGACTTATAGTGACCCTATGTACAACAGCTCTGAACCTTTCCCTGTTCCGAACCAGTCTCACTGGCTCTGACACACCTAACCCATTGCCCTAGTTACTGTATCAATCCATCCCTCCCCTGCGCTGTCCGTCCATCCTTTCGAGCATGATGTCCTTCTCTAAGGATCAATCTCTCCTGGCTACACACCCAAAATAAGTGAGGTGGAGCTTCAAAATCTTAGCCTCCAAGGAGAGACTTGGGTTTACCATCTCTAAGACAGACCTATTTGTTTTCTTGGCAGTCCATGGTATGTTAAAGACTCTTCTCCAGCACCACAACTCAAAGGAAACTGTTATTTTTCTGTCATCCTTAGTAATTGTCCAACTTTCTGAAGCGTAACAAGTAATTGAGAAAACTATGGCCTGGAATAAGTGCATCTTTGTATCTAAACCAGCATAGTTACTCTTGGCATAGCGCTCTGGATAGCTCCATGACTGTAGATTTTCCCAACGCAGTACTTCTTTTGATTTTCTGACTGGTGGTATTAAGAGTTGACTATGGATCTGAGCAAGCTGTAATTGCTAACAACCTCAATCTCTTCTATCTCTTATCCATCTATAATGGTGCTGTCAGTTGTCTTAGTTGTGAGAATCTTAGTCTTCTTGATGCTGAGCTTCAATCCATATTGCAGACTACAGTCCTTGACCTTTTGCAGCAAGTACTTCAGGTCTTCAGGTTCAGCAAGCAAGGTTATGTCATCTGCATATCGTAGGTTGTTAATGAGTCTCCCTCCAGTCTTGATGCCACACTCCTCCTCATAAAGCCCTGCTTCCTGAATGATCTGTTCTGTGTACAGATTGAAAAGGTACGGGACAGGATGCATCTCTGACACACTCCTTTCCTGATTTTGAACCATACAGTGTTTCCTTGCTCTGTTCTGAGGACTGCTTCTTGGTCCAAGTATAGGTTTCGTATAAGCATCATCAAGTGTTCTAAGATTCCCATATTCCTCAAGGTTAGACAACTACTTGGGCAATTGATTGGAAGAGATTCATATTTATTCACATTTCAAAAAAACGGTTACAAGACAGATTGTGAAATTTATCATACAATATCACTAATATTACACACTAGCAAAATCCTGCTGAAGGATATCCAGAAAAGACTTGAATAGTGCATTGACAAAGAACTGCCAGAAATACAGGTTAGGTTTAGAAGAGGTCATGGCACTAGGGATATTACTGTCAATGTCAGATGGATCTTGGCAGAAAGCAGAGAATACCAGAAGAATGTCTATCTGTGTTTCATTGAGTATTCAAAGGCATTTGACTGTGTGGATCACAATAAATTGTGGGAATCCCAGAACACACATTTGACTTAAAAAATAATAATTTTGAAACAGTTGACTGTACTCTCCTTTCATTGTATTTGGTTAAATCCTTAAAACTGATCACAATGATATCTGATTGAACTAGCATTACCATAGAAAACATCTTTCTGAAACTGAGATTATAATTGTTATGGCTGACACAATTTTGGTACACCCCAATATTATTTATGGACAAATATCTCCTGAGTCAGATACATGATACCCCTGACACCAAAGAGAATTGTAATATATATGATATAGATAGATATAGAGATAGAGATAGAGATAGAGATAGATAGATATAGATAGATAGATAGATAGATAGATAGATAGATAGATAGATAGATATAGATATATAGGTAGATAGATATAGGATAAAGGTGGACAATCTCTTCCCATGTAATTTATGTTGTTGTTGTTGTTAAGTGCCAGCGAGTCCCAGGCGACTTATAGCGACCCTATGAAGGAGAGTCCTCGATTGGGTGCCTTTCATTCTTTCTCCAGGTTCATAAGGTTTCTGGAGGCAAGCTATTATGGAAGTGGATGTCACTCCTCCTTCCAATGTAATTTATAGCTTCCTAAAAACCCACTGGATGGTCAACTAAGAGTCAAATCTGATTCAATAGCAATGAATATGAAAATAATTATGCTCCAGAAGAATTTGAACCTATCCATTTGGCACTCTCATTTTTACTTCACTTAATTCAGGAAAATGTATGAATTAATAAAATATTGATTGAGTACTAACTGGACAATAACTTATTTGCAATATCACCTTGGGTAAAGTGAGAGTTTCTTCTCTGAAAAAGAGAACAAAATTCAGTATGCGCTACCTACTTACTTTCTACAATTTCATTCACTCCTTAGAAGTAATTACTTTTTGAGACATTTAGACATCAAAAAATTTCTAGGGAGGATGCTTCACTTGCAAAAGATTGTGTTACTTACTGCAAGATTTGAAGCTGATGTTGATAAGCTGATGACTTCCAGAATTTTCTTTACTTACACCAAAACACAAAAGTATCCGGCGGATCCCCTAGTTCTATGCTAAGTGAGATATCTCCACATAGAATGGTATGAACTTTATAAACAGAACATGATAAACACTTCATTCTCCATAATTAAAAAAGGTTTTTTATTCTGTATTTTCATCTAAAATGTATAGCACTCCAATGCCTGAGAGCACCACCACAGAAATGTAATAACCTCCAGGGACAGCTGGTGTCATTAGTCCTGTGTTTGATGCAACAATTGCCATGATGACCAGACCAGTGCTTTAGTCACTGCAATGATTATCACTCTCCTGTCAGGGGATGTCAGCAGGCTGAGGACAAACATCAAGTGAGTGTGCCTTTTACCCTATGGCTGAAGATGGTTCTCCAAAAATTTATTTCCATTGTCCAACAGAAAAAAACAAAACATCAACTGAAGCAACTCTTTCCAAATCAGAAACAACTATTACCTCAGAAGTAGACCACATTTCTTCAGTAAATGACTATACAAGAGAACATGATTTTTCATCTACCACAGGGGATAAGTTTGCACCAATGAAGGGAAGACTGAAATCTGAAGATGATGCTGAGATTTGTAAAAGTAAGTCAATAGCCTCTACAGAGAAAGAAATGTCAAGTATGACTGTTACAAACTCCAAGGCTGATGACTTTGTTACTGAAAATTTCATTTCAACAAAAATTAGTAATAATTCATCACTACTTGCTGCTGTTTCTTTAATAGATTTTTCTGCTAACCTAGCTGATGAAGATATTCTGTTGGATGCAATTTTCTCAAGGAATAAAGATGTTTCAAAAATTTCCAAAGTCTCTGGCGAACTTAAGAAAAACACCACTTGCACTGATGACACACCAACTCCTTTAGATGAAAAAGATGTATCTGGTGTTACCAATTCTAACTCCTCAGACAAATCCAATACAGATGAAGTTGTCCAGGTCACTAACTCCTTTATTCCTGAGGATGAAATTTCTTCATCTACCAAAGCACATATCACCACTATTCCAGATATAACTACTATTGAAGAAGAAAAAATAACTGAAAGTGATCTAGTTGTTTCTGAGGACTCCAATATCAAAACTAAATTAACTGAGTGTGGTGAGGAAAATTTCATCACTGTATTTGAACTCACTGTTGAGAATGACAAAGATAACCCAGAAGATATTCCTCTAAGAGATGAAAAGTCTGTCAATGAAATCAACATCTGGACGGAGGGAGATGGTTCAAAGGAAACAGAGTCTCATTCTGTTTTGCTTACTGCAGTGGAATCCAAATATGACTTTGTTGTATCCACATCAGTAACTATGAACCTCATGGATGATTCACCTACTACAACAATGAAAGATCTGTTTGAAAAGGACAGAACTGAATCTGTATCTAAGATCCCTGAGCCATCTTCTGAAACTAACCCCATATTAGATACACCGTTCCCCATTGAGGATACTCCGAACCATTTGGAAGACAGCTTCACAAATGAAATGGATCTCTTCAAACTACTAGAAGATCCAGATGGGTTCATGATTTAACAGCAGCAACAAGGATACTATGTGGAATGCTTCAAAAGCCTAGTCATCCAGTCTTAACATTTAAGAAAAGAAATTTGTTCAACAAGCAAAAAGCTAAAATGAGTGAAGGAAATAAGCATTTTAAGGCAAGTATTAGAAAAATCAAACACTTAGGAATATAAATCATATAACAGGATGTAGTTACAGTAACTCTAGGAAAAATCAAGGAAAATAAAAGTTCTTCTAGTATTACAAATTGTAATTGATTTATACAATTGTTACTTATTTTGATATAAAACATCCAATCTTATTATATCCCCTTGAGGGATATGACCAGAGAGTAAATGAAGAAAATTCTGTCCAACTAAAATTTATTATGTACAAAGTTTTAGTTCATCCTAAATAGTTTATTTTCATGAGTTATGGAAAGGGAGAGAACCTAATTAACAAATCAAGAAACAAAATTGTTATAGAATGAAAAGTTTTTCTGAAATCAGCATACTAGTTGCAATGAGTTGTAGTCAACTCAGACACTTAACAACAAACAGATTTTATTCCATTATTATGCAACTAATGATGCTCTATTTAAAAGATATAGTTGTAATACATAAAAATTAAAGTTATTCAGTATTGACTGTTTGCAGGTGAGATACACACGTTATAAACAAATGTTGAATGCAAACTAAAGTAAAATAATGTTTTAAAAATATATGCATTGGTTTAAAACAATATGTAAACACATGAGTCAATTTCATTTTCATTCTTTTTTAATTTCTTTCCTGAATTTTTGTCATTTTTTCCTCTAGGTCTTAAATACTGAATATTTCAGTCTTCTTACAGTCTTGGTTATCTAGTCAAGGATCTTTCTTTCCATTCTACATTCTTTTTTTTGAGACAGACTTTTCCATGGGTCTGTTTTCACCTTGCTGATTTTTCTTCAATAAATCTTTTTTACAGCAACTGATTCATTGTGTGTGACAGTATTTGCTATCCTTACATTAATATACAGATAAAATGGATTTCCATAATTTAATTAAGAGTAAGTTAATGTAAAGACTTATAAATGTGTTCTTTAAAGAAAAAAACAAAACAATGAAGCCAAACCTGAAACTATTATTAAGTAATGCATGGTTTTTTCTTTTTTTTTTTATGGAAAAGTAAAAGAAAAGATTCTTTCATTGTTTTACAAACCCTCCCCCAGGTCCCCTCC